AAATTAGGTTTAGAAGGACCATGTTTTGAACTGATTGCATTAATCAAGCAGTCATTGTGCTACAAAGACCATTTGCTTCTCTTTATCTTGCAGGAGACAGCAGATATGCTCAAATCTCACATAAAAGAGGAGTTGATGCAGGGGGAGGAAGATGGCTCTATTTACGAGTCCATGGCTCACGTCTCTGCTGACCTTCTGATGAAATGTTCGCTGAACCCCAGTTGTGATGAAGAACTCTATGAATCCATGGGTGGTTTGATTCCCAGCTCTACAGAGGACTTATGTACATATACAATGCTCCTTATTTATCTCATAATATAAGCGATGGTGGCTATTGATTAATGCTAATCTAAATTTTTTTGTCACTTTAAATGTGGCTATTTTGTACATAGGATGTAAAGTTAAAACATATTTAATTCTGCGTGGGAATGTAAGTAGCAAAAAAGCAGAAAGGGAACATACCATATTTTTTGGACTATAAGACATACCAGCGTATAAGACGCACCAAGATTTTGAAGAGGTAAGTAAGAAAAAAAAGTGTTTGTCCTCCCCGGCCCCCAGGAGCACTCTGCAGGCTTCAGCAGGGCTGGGGTAAAGCGAAAACGCCCTCGTTTTTCACCAAAATGGGGGCATTTCCCCCTTGGCCCGGTTTTTGCCCATTTTTCACAAATGCTTCGGGAGGCCAAAAATGGCTGTATTCAGTTTATAAGATGCACCAACATTTCCACGCTCTTGTAGGGGAGTGGAAGATGTGTTTTATACTCCGAAAAATAGGTTCCTACCTGCAAGCAGCAATGTTCATGTAGTAGATGTTATATTTATAGTTTGTGGTTTGGCAGACCGTATTCTTTACAATATTGCACTTCAAGTTTGGATATGGAGGAACATAGGACAAAGAATACAGATAGTTCTCAACTTGCGACCACAATTGAGCCCAAAATTTCTGTTTCTGAGTGAGACATTTAAGTGAATATTGCCCTATTTTACAACCTTTCCTGCCACAGTTGTTAAGCAAACGATTCAGTTTATAAGTTAGTAACACAGTTGTCAAGTGAATCTGTTTTTCCTGTTATCACTGCATGACACACGGTTGCAAAAGTGATCACATGAATATGTGCCAGTTGCCAAATGTCAACTGTCCCACTCAGTCATCTAGCAAAGAAAGACTCCTGGCCATTTGTTTTGCCAAGACTATATTTGACTAAAGCTTAAATAGTTACAGAACTGGGATAAGCTGAATCTGAGGTTTTCCCATGCAAACAACACAAAGGACAGTTCCCTCTGCCCCCCCCCCCCCGGCCATCCTCCCCTCCGTTGTCCAATCAGGTGCTTGTCTATTGCTTAGGAAACAGGTGCTCTGTTCCCAGCTCTGCATATTGTTAGTTGATTTTGGTTGGCTGTAGCTTCTTACAAGGCTCAGCCGGGCTCCCCTTATTCCTTACATTCCAATCTCCCCCTCCCCCCCAAAAAAGCTTGGATGAAGCTTGGATAGATGAGATGCAGTGATGACAATAAGTATTAGAAATTCTGTGTATAGCCCTACAGAGCAAACAGTGCACAGTCCACATGTGGTTTTATGTTTAACTGTGACAAGGAAGCAGAAAACTTTTTATTGAACGAAAAAGCATAGACAGGTCTGTCAAACTGGCGGCCTGCAGGCCATATATGGTCCATGGAGGCCATAGCCATCCCAGCTCCGCAAAGGCAAACAACATCATGATCTGGCCCGCGATGTGATGGAATTTGACACCCCTGGCAGAGTGTACCATAGATGCAACTACAAACTTATGACACTGGCATCTACTGGTGAAGAATATCTATTTCTACTAAATACTGCTGTAGTTGTACAAAATTCATGAACACCGTATTCTAACACCCCCACTCAACAAGTACTCCTGATGTTATTCCATGAGATAGTACTGAAAATGTCCATGTCTGCAGTTCATTAAGAGATGTCATCTCTTCATTGCAGCTCTTATCCACTTTTGTTTCTCATGGGTTGGAAGTCTTTGCATCTCATACATCCCATGAATCTGGCTCTGGTTTTAATGATTTGTAAGCAACATAGGACAGATTTGGCTTGGATGCCTTTGTTGCTTCTGGGGATTTCCTGATTGAAGCCTCTTGTGGCATGTTTTCTTTTTCTACAGTATTTGGTAGTCTGTGTTGTTTTCTATTTTTATGTCACTTTGTTGCCTATCTTCATGTGACACTGATGTGAAATTTCCCTCAGTCTGAAGTATTTGTGTTACTTCATGAAATTTTGAACACACTGAAGTTTCATCAACAATTGCACCTCTACCGATGGTTACTTTGTTTGTGTCTTGGTGTAGAATTCTGTATCCCACAAGCACAACGTCCTTTGTTCAAGTATCCCATTTTGTACATTTTTCTTTTGGGATGTGCACTTTGGCTTTGCTTCCAAAAATGTTAAGATGGCTCAAATTTGGAGCCTTTCCATTCACACAGTTAATATAGAGCAGTGATGGCGAACCTATGGTACATGTGCCACAGGTGGCACGTGGAGCCATTTGTTAGGGCATGCAAGGCACTGCCCTGTCAGCTGGCCAACGCACATGCGCGTGCTGGCCAGCTGAGTTCACCCTTTTTTAAAGCCATTTTTTGCCCTCCCCAGGCTCTATAGGAGGCTTTATAGGAGCCTAGGGAGGTCGAAAAGAGCCTCCCCCACTCCCCCGGAGGCCATCCAGAGGCTTCATGCGCTTCCCTAAAGCCTCCGGAGTGCAAAAAACTGGCCCTATGGGCAAACTGAAAGTTTGGGAACGGACTTCCGGTTTGCTTGGAGGGTCGTTTTGACTGCTCCAGAGGCTTCAGGGAAGCCTCCTGAAGGTCTCTGAAGCATTCAAAGCACTTAAAACAACCCTCCAAGCATGCAGAAAATGGGGGGGAACCCCTGTAGTGCAAGCATGTGCACTGGGGGGATCGTGCATTGCATTATGGGTGCGGCACACCTGCAGATGCCCCCCCTCGCGCTCCCCACACGAGCCAAAAAAGGTTCGCCATTGCTGATATAGAGTTTTCACAGATGATTTTCCTGGTAGTTAACTTTGATGATAGCATGTGGTCATAATTGCCTCTGTGCTCTGATCTTTCTCTATCCACTCATTTGAAGGGTGTTTTGGCCTAACTTTATTTATGCATTTCCACAATCATACTTTTATTAGCATCCCTAAGGTGTTTTTTCAAGAGGCAACTGGACTTCCCACTTTTTCTTTGAAGACGTTTCTTTGAAGACTTCAAAGTCTTCAAAAAAAAATATCAGAAAGTCCAGTTTTCTCTTTAAAAGGCACATTTGGGACAACCATGACCTGGATGACTGAGAATCTCCATAGGCACTCTTATTAGCAGCATTTTCATCTTGAATTTCCAAGGCTGATACTTCTGGTTTGTCAGATTTGCAAATGAAAGCTTCTGTTGCAGTCATCTTGCGCTTATTTGCTATAACCAGCTATGATTGGGCCCATAACCTGTTAGAAATTCTGTACAGTATGTAGCCCTGCAGAACAAACAGTGCACAGTCCACATGTGCTTTTCTGTTTAACTGCAACACTGCCATCTACTTGTTGAAGTATACACCGTAATTTTTGGAGTATAAGATGCATTTTTACCCCCCTAAAAGAGGGTGAATACATCAAATGTAGTCCCGCCCACCCACGGGCCCCCACCCTTTGGCCCCTGCTTCCCAGCAATTTGCCTCCTTTCAGCAAACAATCTGTTTCAGCTTCAGCACAGCTTGATTAGCACAAGCAGCTGATTGTTGGTTGGATTGGCCTCCTGACCATCAGCTGTTTCAGGCTGCAGGGAGTGCCATAGCCTATTGCCACCTCTGCCCCATTTTCCATCCATTCTGATCTCCACCCCAGGAACTGGCAAGAAATGGGGCATGCAGAGGCCAAAAACGGAGTGCGGCGGCTGAAACAACCCCTGCAGCCTGAAACAACTGATCGTTGGGAGGCCGATCCAACCAACAATCAGTTGCTTGTGCTAATCAGGCTGTGCTGAAATTGAAACTGAAACAGCTGTTTGCTGCAAGGAGGCAAATTGCTGGGAAGCAGAGGCAGATTTTTTTCCCCTTGTGCTAATCTGGCTAAACTGAAACTGAAACAGGCTGTTTGCTGTTTGCTGCAAGGAGGCAAATTGCTGGGAAGCAGAGGCAGATTTTTTTCCCCTTGTGCTAATCTGGCTAAACTGAAACTGAAACAGGCTGTTTGCTGTTTGCTGCAAGGAGGCAAATTGGCTGGGAGGCAGATTTTTTTTCTTGTTGTCCTCCTCAAAAGCTAGGTGCATTTTATACTTTGGAGCGTCCTATATTCCAAAAAATATGGTATATCATTACTGAATACCGCTGTGTAGTTGTACAAAATAATGAATACTGTATTCCAGCAGTCTGAATTTTGTTCATATGACCATGGGGATGCTGCAACAGTCGTAAGTATGAAAAATGGCCATAAATCATGTTTTTGGAAATGGCACTTTTAGTGTCATTGTAATTTCAAACAGTCACTAAACAAATGGTTGTAAGTCAAGGACTACCTGTACATTGCTACCATAGTATTAGTTTTTGGCTAGAATTTTAGACCACACATTTTTGCATCTTTGTGGTTGGAACTAAGCTAAACAGATATTGATAACTCTTTTTCCTAAGGAAGAGTGTGGTAGACAAGTGGGAAACAGAAAAGATGTGAGGTAGGCATATTTATCCATAAAGTCTGGACTGAAGTCTGGAGTATAAGAGTGGAGGGTTTAGCAACAGAAAGAAGTATCATTTGGCTGCTTCTAAGCGATGCAGTGACAATTTTTCCACAAGCTTGATCACAGAATAATTCACAGTTGAAAGGGACCTTTTCATCTGACGAGTTTTATTCCTTAGCAGCCAGATTATTTAGCCAGGCACTTTTGGTAGGGGTTTTCGTCCTTTGGGGTGATACATTTTTGTACAGGTGTAATCATACTTTACATATAATGCAATGTGTATGAGCAATAAATAAGCAAAATGTCCTAGTATAGAGAAATAAATATGATATTCTAGATATGACTTGTTGAGTTTATTTCTTTTGAAGAAATACTTTTCTTCTAATACTGAATACTAATTATGTGATCCATCCTACCTGTCATATCTACAATATCATATTTATTTCTCTACTAGGACCAAGTTTTGTCTATTTATTGCTCATACATAGCACATTGGGTATAGGCATCTGAGCCCTTTAGTGCTTCCTTCCTTGTCCTAAGGTTTACACTTTTCAGATTTGTGTTATAGGTATGGCTCAAGTTAAGGTTTCCTTCCCCTTCCAGTTAGTTTAAAGCTCCCTAGATGTCTTTTACAGATGTTTTCCAAAGATATTCTTCCCGTCTTTGTGAGATAAACCTTCTCTCTTGCCAGAAGCCCTTCTTACAGGTAGAGATGACCATGGTACAGGAATCCATTTTTTTTCTTAATGGTGAGCAGATGAGCTGTTATCATCAATGGTGTGTTGAGCCGTTGTTTAACCTTGAGTACCCGTGTGTGTGAGGGTTAAGTATATTTTAATTCTGTAAGCCATTCAGAGTTATTGACACCATTCCTTGAGCCAACAGTTCACCTCCAGAATCCCTTGTTCCTTCCTTGGCACATTATCATCCATTGGAATTGAAACATTGCCTATGCTCCAACTCTTTTTATTTCCTATCTATCTCCAATAGTTTCTTGATATTCTTACCAACATTTGTTCTGCAGTCTTGACAAGGAGATCAATATTGCTCATTAATTATTGGAACATTTAGTGTCACACTGTATTTATGCTACAGGAGCTTTTACTATATGGAGGATAGGGATCTCATCTGTATCGTCAAAGAACTTACATATTTCTGGGAAATTATATTTAAAATACAGATAGTTCTTGACTTGGGACCCATTTGTTTAGCAACAGTTCAAGGCTCTAATGGTAGTGAAAGAAGGGAATGATGACCGGTCGCTGAAGTTACAGCCATCACAGCATCCCTACAGTCATGTGTTCATAATCTGGGCTTCCCTGACAGTTTTCCCAGAAAGTCAATGGAGAAGCTGGCAGGGAAGGTCACAAGTCACTGGGGTAAGTCTGCCCCACCCATACACTCTTCTCAGCCCTTCCGCATGGTGTCATACTGTCCACTCACAAACCCATTAACACTCATGGGCATCTTTCCTACATGGAACTTCTTGTGCATCCCTATGTACCCTCCCTGACCCCTGTGGTGATTCCCACATATCCCTGCACACCCTCCCTGGCTCTCCCATGGCTCTTACACACCCTTATGTAGTTTCTCACATCCTCTCTACACCTGCACATGCTCTTCTCAACCACTGCATCGTAGTGCACCTTTTCAACCTGCCCAGCATCTCTTCCACATCCCCTTGCACCCTCAGTCATCAACCCCAGTCCTCCCCCTCTGTGCACTCCTCCTTTCCTTAACCTGCAGCAACCATTTACCTGCTGGCCTGAGACATCCTGCCGGCCTGAGACATCCTGCCGTCTTTCCCACTGACTTTACTTGTGGGAAGCCGGAGGAAGCTGCCTAACAAGTATGGAGTTCTATTAACAACAACTGGAACTGCAGGAATTCCCATTGCTAAGCAAAGTAGTGGTACTTTACAACTTACAACTTCCCTTAGCAATGGAAATTCCTGTAAACATATAACCTTCGTGTGATATTTTGATGGCCAAGCTTTTATGGAATCCTTCCTCATCTAAACAAAATAAAATATAGGAAGCTACACATATATTTAGTATGTATGTTTGCAAAGTCAACTAAGTACATGTGTGGTCATTTTTTCCAGATGTAGAAATGCTTCAGTCAGATGCTAATAATCCTCTTTCACGGACAACCAAGGACTATATGATGCGCAGATTCTTAGAAGGTAAGTAACATAGCAAACTTAACCAAAAGGCAAGATTACAATTAGAAACAATTGGTTTGCATGTTATTCTTTGGCAAAGATCTATCAGCACCCTCACAATCTAAGTATGATTGCGGTATTATCTTGTTATACTGCAATCTCAAGATGCCGATAGCAATCTCAGTGAAATGTTCTCTTGCAATTTTGATGTTTTCTCTTTTCTGTTACTGAAAATTTCATACTCAAAAGATGAAATTTTGAATATCAGTGGACTTTAAATAACAAGCTGCTTTCTGGGACTAGTCCTCCCTTCTTTTCAAATGCGGAGGAAATTCTGACTGAGGGAACAGCAGTTATCTCTTTCGGCCCAGCAGAAACAAAGAAGAGAGACAAAAGGAGAAGGAAGGGCAAGAGAGGAGGCATATTACAATGACTCAGGAAGCATAGGGTAAGGAAATCTCTCCTCCCCTCTCTGCATTTAACTAATCTTCACTCACTTGTAAATAAGATAGATAAACTGCTACTTTTAAAGTGGAACAACTCAGTCTTTTCTAACTTGGCAGTCCTCTGCTTCATTGAAACATGGCTGAATGATTTGATTAATGATAGCAGCTTGCAAATAGCAATAGCACTTAGACTTATATACCGCTTTACAGTGCTTTACAGCCCTCTAAATGGTTTACAGTCAGCATATGCCCCCCCCCAAACAATCTGGGTCCTCATTTTACTGACCTCGGAAAGATAGAAGACTGCGTCAACCTTGAGCCTGGTGAGATTTGAATTGCCAAATTGCAGTTAGCCAGCAATCAGCAGAAGTAGCCTGCAGTACTGCACTCTAACCCCTGTGCCACTATGGCTCCCAGGATTTCAGATTCAAAGAGCAGATAAGAAGAGCAGAAACATCCAGTAAAAAGAAGGGATGCAGTACCTGCTTTTATATTAACAACCGATGGTGTAAAAATGTCACTACACTAAAGAAATTTTGTGATGTGGACTTAGAGACACTATTCATTAACCGCATATCCTATTATTCCCCCTCTTCATTCATCCTAACTGACTGTACATACCACCCAAGCCTGCTTAAACAAGGCACTGCAAACCTTAACTAACCAAATCTTGTGGGCTGAACAGAGATATGTACTCTTGTATTAAGAGATTTTAACAGCACTAACGTAAGTCAAGAGTTTTCAAGATACATTCAACATGTCAACTGTCTCACCAGAGGCAAAAATATTTTAGACCACAGCTACTCAACAATAAAAAGTGCCTACTGCTTTCTACTAAGAGCAGCTGTGGGACACTCTGATCACTGTATGATTCACCTTGTACCTGTTTATAGAAAATCATAAAACCAATCATTAAAAAGTGAAATGCTGGACTGAAAAGGCAAAGTTAAAGCTACAGGCTTGCCTCAATTGCACAGATGGGAACATTTTTGGAGCTGGCTTAGAGGATTTGAATGAACTCAATGACACTGTGACATCTTATGTTAGTTTTTGTAAGGACTTGTGTGTGCTGACCAATACCTTATGCATCTGCAGTAATAATAAACTTCTGTTCACACCTAAGCTCATACATCTACACCGTGCTAAAGACAAAACTTATAAGAAAGGAGATCCTGTACAATCAGGCCAGGAATGTATTAACAAGGGAGATCAGGGCAGCAAAGAGAAGCTCTTCTAAAAAGCTGAGGAATCAGCTCTCAACAAATGAACCAGTAAATGTGTGGAAACGCCTTAAAAATATTTGACTATAGCAAACCTTCTTCCCTTGCTGAAAGGAATCAGCAACTGGCAGATGATCTAAATGTGTTTGACTATAGGTTAGTGTTGTGGCCCAGCAGGAGCCGTTGGAGCTGCTGATGGACTCCGATAGTGAGGGACCCTATGAGTCTGCTATGGAAGATGTGGAGGACGCTCGGCAGTGTTCAGAGCAGGGACCAGAGAGGCTGGTTGGCCACCAGGAGGTGCCTAAGGCATG